ACTCTGACAATATTCTAGAAGTTATTATTATATCTTCAGTGTAATTTAAAGTAGTATTTTTCAGATTGTGTTTGGAATCAGCATGTTTATTTGGAAGTTATAAAAAATAGCAATATGAAACCAAAGTGAAATAATGACAACATAGAAGATAATGTAAGCATATATGATGAACCACATAGTAAAATAATTGCTAGAAGTGTTAATTAAGATAAGAACAGGCAGTGCTAATGAAAAATAAAGGCCGATCAGTACATTTGTTGTCATAGTCAGCCTGATTTAAGCACTTTCAGAGCCATTGAGCTGAAAACATTTTTAGAGCATAATACAATGGAGAGGTCATTGTATCAGACTGAACATTTTGCAGAACAGCACTATTAAGAGATTTGTGATAACTAGATGGCAGACTGGATTAATGTAGTAGACTCACACCCAGATCTTTCCTAGGCCAGCAACGAAAATGAATGTGTATTGTGGGTCATATAACAATGTCTGCCACTCTCCCATGAACAATCTTTTGTAACTGAAAGTCAGAAAAAATCCAGGAATGCAATAGGAGAGAGTTTCTCAAGTCATATCTAAAATGCTGAGAGAGGATTTGGTTTAATTAGATTAGTGTTTTCCGTTCTTAAGTGGCATTTCTCTTCCTGTTTATAATGTTTTCTGTTGGATTCTGTTTTGCAATCTTTTTGTAAGGTGAATTTGCTGAGAGTTTGTCTGTGTTTGAAAAGTTTATTTTACTGTCTGCCAGCACTGCCAAGAGAACATGCACCCATTTTTGTGCTGGGCTTTAGAGACTATCTTGAGTAGCAGCGTATGAAATTAAGATACTGCTTTTATTAACAGTTAACACGAAAAATCTAGAACCTTGCAATGTTGGACATATTAGTGTCATGATGATAAAGGATTTTTTGGTGTACAGACTTCTCTTTTACCAACATTCAGTCGTTCCCTTGATTTGGGAACTATGGTTTTTCACTTGACCCATAGCCACATCAGTTCTGGAAACTGGGACACGCAGATCCCTGAAAAACAACAACAACAACAACAACAAAAAACCAACAAAAAGAAAAGCAGCTAGGAAAAACTCCTTATGTTCAAAACCAGAGTGATGCAGTTGTGCACGTGACGGGAGAGAGAGGGAGGCCACAAGGCTGTATAGTAAAAGATGTACTTCTACAAATACTTTTTGGTTAAAGCTCGGGTGGAAGATCCATTGCATGATATTTTGCCCAGGCCATGCAACATACTGAAGTAAAACTGCTGTGGGCATGTACTGTCTTGGAAATGGCCTAGAATAATTCCATAGATATTTCCCCTCTCTTCCCTGGTTCTGCATTACATTGGTCAGCCCTAGGTAAGAGCAACACATGAAGCACACCCTTTTGGTGCTGGGGCCCCTCTGCTGAGCTGGGGCTTATGATGATTAAGAGAAAAACTTCAAACACATTTCAATGAGCAGCAGAATCCCACAGAATTTTTCCATGATGGTGTTTTTCACTTGAATGACTAGTCTTCCACCCATTTCTACAAATGAAGCTGTTTGCCTTGATTGTGCTGATTACCCGCAGAGGGAACACAGCATTTTTGCAGGAGCTGTGCGCTGCCCATCACTGGGGAGGGGAGCCTCCTGGTTGCCTGCACACGGCAATGTCAGTGGGTCTGGAAGCACGCTGCCCGCTTCCCCTTTGGGGTGTCCTTTGTCCTGGGACAAGGGAGGCTGAACACCAAGGCAGGCACTGAGATGCTTAAGAAACATTCCCCTTTCACATCAGGGGAATTTCTCCCATGCTGTTATTCATGCTCTTGGCTCCTTATGTAAAAAGCATGTGCACATTAGGTGGCTGATAAACATTAACTAAAATAAGGCAAAACTTGGTTTCTCAGGAGGTGATAGTGACGCATTTTACTACTTCTATGATAGCAGAGGGGTGTGCAGTCAGCAGACCAGTTATTTTACTACCAGCAGTGCACTCCATCCGGTTCCAGTATAAGAAAATATGTGCGAGGTGTTTTATGTATTTCTAGTTCGTTTTTGAGTTCGGACCACATCCTGCTAAAGAGAATACTGAACAAATTCATTTTAGGAGTATTTTTCTCTCTCATTTGTATGCATTTGTGTAGCAACTAAACTAGTATTAGGAAGGTAGTTAGCATATTTTTGTATTTTTCAGTGTGATTTATGTGCTGTACCATAAATGGTTCAGTATTGTCTGAAGAGTCAGCTTGCAAAAAAAGTGAGTGTTATATATCAACAGTGATTCATAAATCATTTGTGTTTGCAGATTGATACAGAAGACAACTGGCCAAATACTGCATTTGCTGAAAAAACTATTTATTTATTGCATTTTTATTTAAATATTTTTTTCAGGTTGAAACAAAATTTTGTTTAGGATCTTTTTTGTAATTGAATTTGTAGAGATTTTGAAAAATACTAAAATATAAATGAGAAGTTTAAATGTGGATGAGTTCCCGCTCTTGACTGAAAAATAATGGTCTTTCATGTCACAAGAAAACCTTAAATTCTCTGAAATAATGGGTTTCAGGCTTAGGAGATTTCTGTGTTGTTCTGCAGCTAAACTGAAATAGTTTTTCTACAGCTCCAACTACCCAATGAATACAATAACTGAAATGATTAATACAGTAACTAAAATATTGTGGTCTTACAAATACCAACATAAAATTATGGTTTGTCTTTCACTTTTGTTTCAAAATGTAATAATTCTGATGTTCGATTTCTCCCAATATTTTTAACGGTGCACAATTTCTGTCTTCCCAAGTGATTTTAACAATGGTAGATATTCAGTATCTGTAAGTAAACATTGAAAATCACTTGCTTCATTACACTTCTGGGCCATTAAATATCTTCTTTCATCTATCTAATTCCTCTCTTCTCATTGCCTCAGCCGCGTGACTCAATCAGGCATGTGTTATCTTTCCCAGATCCTTTTCTGAACATAGCGTAGTGCGCAGG